GGGGTTTCAGGGCTATCAAAGGTCATCCTGAATTGCGGTGGAGGTCTGATTTTGCCATTTCAGGCTAATCTTGGACTCCTGCTTCCTGGGACACAGATGGCAACCTGATTAGCCATATGTGGATGAGTGGGTGAGGGAACTGATTGGTGAATAGCAGGATGTAGGTAAATAGACTGGAATTAGGGGAAGAGAGAGATGAGGGTAATGAAGGGCCAGGTGTGGGGGAATGAGGAAATGAGGGGCAGAGTGGGGGTGAATAGGGAAAAATACGGAGAAATGAGGGAAATATCTAGTGGAGTTACTGGACAAAACATGAGTAAACATAATGCTGGGAGAGTGGAAGTGAGAAGAGTTTAACTGGGTGAATGGGCAGAGAGCAGGTGATGGAAATGTGGACACAGTAAAGCACAGTGAGAATGCTGGTGAATGGGGCAGAGTTGGGGTGATTGGGGCAGAGTAAAGAGCAGTCAGGCAAATGGCAAAATGTGGCAGAGCATTAGCCAATGCAAAAAGGAAGTATGGCCTGTCAACATGGGAATTAGAAAATGAAGAGTACTCTGTGGTGAGTAATGGGGATCCATGGAGTTGACCTGTAGGATCTCAGGGTCTCAACAATGCAGGATCTCATGTTGGTCATGAGGAGTTGGTCAGGACTAAGTGAGTGGAGGAGGCAGGAGGTCGTCACAAGTGTTTATGCACAAAGAGGAGCTGCCCCAAGGACTCCTCAGTGACAAGATGGGAACGGCTTGCACTTGTAGGACAGTGCTCAATGAATGTCCCCTCCATGTTCCAAGTTCCTGTTATTCATATACACAGAGAGGTCCCATCACAAATATATCCCTGCTACTTCCCCCAAATCAGCTCTGTTTTGCCTATAGGCCAGCCTTGAGTCCTGACCCCATAATTTATGCCAGGTATTTGTCTTATTGCTTAAGTTAAGACCTCTAACATGAGATTCATTATGATCCCTCTTCAGCCTGTTCCCTAGGATCCTCAAGACTACACTGGATTCCTAAGCTCATCCCTGTGACCCTTAGTTGGCTCTATAACCACCCATATCGATACAGGTCCCTCAATATTTTAAGACAATAATATGAAATAATTGGTTATTTCTTTAGGAAAACTCTCAAGACTATAAATTATGATCCCTTTTCACCTCATCTTCTGGGACTTAATATGAGAGATTCCCTTGATACAATGATGGACTCCAATATACTTCCAGGCAAACTATACCAGAGGTCTCAGAATAGACAGGCTTACAGACCAAAATAAAATGCTCAAGTCATATGGCTTATTAAATCAATTTAAAAACACAAAACACATGACAGCATGATGGACCTAGAGGGTATTATATTAAGTGAAATAAATAAGACAGAGGAAAACAAATACCATATGATCTCATTTATATATGGAATATGAACAAAATAAATGAACAAACAAAACAGAAACAGACTCAGATACAGAGAACTTGTGATTGCCAAATGGGAGGGGGTTTGGGGGTGGGTGAAAAAGGTGAAGGGATTAAGAAATACAAATTGCTAGTTACAAAATAGTCACAGGGGTGTGAAGGTTAGCAAAGGGAATGTAGTCAATAATATAATAACTATGTATAGTACCAGGTGGGTACCAGGCTAATCGGGGGAATCACTTCATAAATTATATAAATGTCTAACCACTATGCTGCACACCTGAAACTAACATAAAATATTGAATGTCAACTGTAATTGAAAAATAAATAAAAATTAAAAATTAAATAAAAATATGAAATACATTTTAAAAATATATCAAGAAGGAGATGGGGTAAGTTAAAACAGGATAAGATGCAAACAGGGTGAAGGACCAGTTTTCTGGAACTTTTGTTATGTAATATTCTTGTGCTCTCTTCTCTTTCTTCCTCTTCCTTCCCCCCTCCTTCTCTCCCCATCTCCTTCCTCCCCCTCCCTTCTCCCTCCCTCCTCTCTTTCCTCTCTCTCCCTTTCCCCTTTCTCTCTCCCTATCCTCCCCATACTCATCAACCACATTGGTTATTAATACTAGAGTTAAGATTGAAGGTACCAAAGGCCATTGACATACCCTGCTCACCTCAGCTGTAGCTCATCAATTAGCCTCCTGCACAGTCAAGGGTTTTATCTGTGTTCAACAGAACAATACTGTCACCAATTGGTGGCTGATTTAAGTAAAATATAACTGTTGGCTCAGGTGGTAAGATACCTTATGACTTGGTCTTTGCATTCCTTCTGTCTTTAACAGTCTTGTTCGTTCCATTGTATATTCCATTTATTCTATTTGTCTTTAGTGTATCCCACAAGCTACTATAACCTACTCGCTAACTATATTTAACACATCTTATGAATTCTGCCTGTCTCAAAAGCTGCTTGCTTACTCATTATCTGTACTTCACACATAAGTTTTGTTCATACCTCAAGCTCCTAGCTTACTTATTACTTATGCTTAATATTTCTTATGAATTTCCTCCATCACATTTGTTTTCATATCCTCTGGAGGACAAGCAATAGAGAAAATCAAAGGAACTTCTCTGACAAGATTAACAAAAGTCAGAAGCCCTAGACTGATCAAGAAACAAAAAAGGAAAACGCTTATTTTCCAAAGATATAATGGACTTCACCACAGATTCTATAAACATTAAAAGGACAATAAGGGAATTATGAAAAAACTTTATGCCAATAAAGTTGACAATTTAGTCAATGTAATAAAGAAGAAAAAAATCACATAATGATCTGTATAGATGCAGACAAAAGGATCTCATAAAATTCATTCATAATATAATTCTTAGCAAACTAGGAATAGGAGAGAACTTCCTTTGTCTGATAAAGGGTGCGTTTTTAAAAAGACAGCAAAATTTAATGGTGACATGTAAAAATCTTTTCTTCTGAGATTAGGAATGAAACAAAGATATCTACTATTCAACACTGTACTGAAGGCCTTGGTGGAATAAAGCAAGAAAAAGAAAAGGAGGAATGACTGGAAAAGATTAAACTCTCAACTTCTGCAGATGATACGTGTACACAGAAAATCCAAAAGGATCTACAGATAAATTGTTAGAATAAGTGAATTTAGCAAGGTTGCTAAATATAAGTTCAAGCACAGAAATTGTTTTTCTTTGTACCAGCAACAAACTAGAAAGCAACAATACCATAGCTTCAATTTTAGGGAACAGAGAGAAACAACTGATAGGGCCATATAATGGAGATCTGTGAAAAGGTGTTTAAATGCAGATGAGGTGGAATCTAATTGTAAGACACAGGAAGAAAATACTTTGAAGGTTTCTCATAAGGATGAGTAGGAAAAAAGTCAAAGTACATATCTAAAAATGTCTGAATGCATAAGCAAGGGAATAAATGACAATTAGAGGGAGGGAAAGTGAAAAAGACAGGGAAAGGGAGAATGACCTAGAAGAGCTGAAGGAGGCAGGGATCAGATCTTGAGGACTGAGCAGGCAGGCATGTTTCTTGATCAAAGTCAGGCAAAGTAAAGCCCAGGGAACACATGTGGAAAGGTCATTTAATCTGAGGAGCTCACATCCATGTCCCATGAGCACCAGAGGCCTGTCTCCTCTAAGGAAGACCAATGGAATGTCAAAGGAACCTCCCCCTTGTCAGCTGGAATCTTCCACTCATCATCCCCAATCTTTCAGTTCTCACTCATCTATGCAACTTTAGACATTCCCATACATCTTTTCCTTATCTCCCAGGGATGATATTAGTTCTACAACTGGCCCCCCATGGAGGGCAGGGAAACACTGAAGAAAGAGGCAAACTACTCCAGATTGGTATGGGGCAGTTTTTATGAGGGAACTTATAAGGCTTGTCTTGGGCAGCAGCAAGATAAGTAGATCTCTGCACTTGCCTGCCAAATCTTTAAAGTTTATATAGAGGCCCTGACTGGGTTCAGCCACATATACCATCCAGATGGTCTCAACAACACACTGCTCTTTCAAGGCTGCATCCTTGAAAACATCTCCCACCATGGGAATGGTGGGGAGAGCATGTATTTCAAGGAAAGGATGGGGTGAGGAGCCTCTGATTGCTTGGGTCCAGCCTGGAGGTCAACTGTCTATTTGTCATGTATTCTTGATTACCTTCTGTAATGAGTGAACACTTCAGATGGAGCCATCACATGTTGCAGGATCAGTGACAT